TGCGAATTGTGTCATGGTGTAGTGCACAATATCTAATGGCCACGGCTAGAGGATCATTACGTGTGCGATCAGTGCTGGAGGCCGCGTGGGGGTGACTACCGTACAGACGTGCACAGCTCTGTGATCAGTCGTCCAAGTGGACCAATGGGATCCATCATACCGCTGCGGGTCGATCTGATTCTCTGATGAAATGGCGACAAAGAGCATTCCTAGTTAAGTGGTCTGGATCGCGCTTATTCTGCTCCCAAAGTAGCATCACATTTTTTGTGGTTTGTTCGACAGCTCATAGGTACTTATCAACTGATCAGATAAAAACCAACCGCGCCAGTGTTAGATACGGCCTTGAAATTTTACAGATGATAGGAATCAAACCACTATAGTGCTGGGGCTCGATCATCTAACACATGGCTCGCATCTTGGCGCTAAAATAGTGGTGGCCTCAGTGTGTTGTGCTACTGTAAGGCTGGGTACAGTGAGATGCCATTAAATAGCTTTCTTTCAGACGGCAGATAAGTGCTGGTCCCGTTTAATCGCAACCTGCGACGGTGCTTTGATAAGAAGTTTTCCTTCGAAACAGTCGTACCCTCTGTCTTTGGTTGCCCCTTCGCGCGTCAAGAGTTGGCCGGACCCCGGGTTTGAATGGTCGGCTAGGACGTTGTTTGTTAAAAAATTACGAAAGCGTTGTTAGCTGCCTGGTTATGTATTCTGTAAGTAGGTTTGTTATCACGCCTCTGAAGGTCCTACATGAAATCCTGCAGGCCCTCAACTCATCAAAACACTAGCGGTGGTCGTGGGTCACCGCGTTGCTGTTCCGCGGGTGACGTAGCACAGCTGCCACAAGTGTGGCATCGCCAGCCCGTGCCTCGCAGCGTAAAGTGAGGTCCGCGTAGGGACGGCGGGAGGTACGAGACTCGTCGACACTCAGCTGATGGGGCTGCAGGCGCGCTGAGCTCCACCTGCACGCAAGCCCGGCTTCCTGCGCCTGCTGTGCCCGGCGGCCGCTCGGCCGCGCGCCGTCTCGTTCCGCTATGTCATGGAACTGGGGAAGTCTGGATCGATTTCTCGGACCTGGCGAAGACTCACTCGCACGGAATCCGAGTGGATGCGGTTCCGGAAACCGCGGCCGTTTATAGACGACCGCTGGCTGACGCGGGGGTGACCTTTGTGTTTCGCTCGGGCTTGCCGAG